ATGGGACGCGATCACCCGCACCTGCATACACACACACACATACACACATTGATTGAGTGGGGGGGTGAGTGGAGGTAGTAGAGGGCAGACACGAGCTGGGACGCGATCACCCGCACCTGCTTACACACACACACTTTGATTCAGTGAGGGGGGGGAGGGGTGTTGATGGGACGCGATCACCCGCACCTGCATACACACACACACATACACACATTGATTGAGTGGGGGGGTGAGTGGAGGTAGTAGAGGGCAGACACGAGCTGGGACGCGATCACCCGCACCTGCTTACACACACACACTTTGATTCAGTGAGGGGGGGGAGGGGTGTTGATGGGACGCGATCACCCGCACCTGCATACACACACACACATACACACATTGATTGAGTGGGGGGGTGAGTGGAGGTAGTAGAGGGCAGACACGAGCTGGGACGCGATCACCCGCACCTACGTACACACACACATACATATATCATACATAGATAAGATACATCTTAAGATAAGATACATTTGAATAATTCTTATTATTATTACCACTATTAAGACAAGGTTTGATTAATTCTTATTATTCCTACTGTACTACTATTGAGACAAGGTTCACAATGTCATATATAGTAAGGTTGGTAGCTACAAAGGTAAAAAAAGAGTAAGGTTGTCAGCTACAAAGGTAACAACAAAAAAAGAGGAGAACGTATCGACCTGTTCCTCGGGCAAACTGGCGTCGTCCTCCAGGATCTGGAACAGTTCTCCCTCGGCACAGTCCGTGACCACAACCACCTGGAAATTCACAGAAAACGTTGGAAACTGGCTTCACGTTTGACACTTTTGTCCCTCAGATTAATTTATAAGAACCCATAACTTCTCACTATTCTAGAAATCCCAACTCTCCCCTTTTTTATACAATGTAGGTGCTTTTTACACCCCCATTGACAAAATTTAGATAATTTAGAAGGCAGAACTCGACACTACCTCTCAGGGCTAACCTGGGCTAAGAGGGATGCAACGCCCCGCCATTGAAAGATCAAGACACTTAATAAACATAGTGCCCACAAGGGAATTGAACTCGGGTCTTTTGCATGCAATGGCAAACTACAGGAAGTCCATTAAGGGGAGGAGCGATCCTTGATTTTGTAGATTTTGGGTCAGGCTATGCAAATTTTCTGTTGGCTGATTTTTAAGATCAACCAGTTTTTTGTCCAAAAATAGCATGGATACATTTGAGAAAGTGTTTATTCTCCACGTAAATTGCCTTTGAAAACATGACGATGGGTTAATATAGTGAATTTTCACAATAATAGTCAGTTTTCGCAAAATATAATTTTTTTGCCATTTTTTTCCTACTCCTTCCTTAGTTTTCATCATTTTTAGATGAAACTCTCAGGACACATAGATGGCAAGGCTGCCATTAATGTAATAGAGAGATATTTGCGAAAACAATAACACTTTTCCATTGGCAAGCGATTACGCAAACTAAATTTTTTTTCTTTTGCACTTATTGAAATAAGTTTGCTGTTACTCTGATAGGGTCTGGTTCAGGTATACTCTCATCACATTTGGTCAAATTTGGTCAGTAAATAAAAATGCCTTAGGGATTTGAAATTCATTTTTTATTTTCAAGATGGCGGCCGTTTCCATAGCAACCGCTGTTGCTATGCCAAAATAAAATGGCGTATTAAGAGATTTTACTATGCCTAACTTATATGTGTACTTAGATTTGATCTTGGGCAACAGACATAGAAAATGGTCCTCAAGGGTAGCTCCTCCCGTTAAGAAAGATACAAACTGGATCAAAACATCAGAAATTAAAAGCCCAATTAAAAGCTGCTCAGGTTGAAAGAGACGGCACAACTTTAATTCGTACAGGAGAAAAACAAACCTCTTTGTCAGTGTCAAAGCTGTCAAGAAGTTCGATGATATTTGTGTGCTTCAAGCCTCGCATGATGTCAATCTCTCTGCGCAGACCTTTTAGCTCCTTCTCAGACTTGCCCATCTTGGGAATGAATTTCAACGCAACAATCTGGAGATTGAAAAGCCGTGAAATTTAAACACACATGGAAGGTTGTCAAAATTGCTTCAACCTTATTCTTTCCAATATATCTAAAGCTATGCATATGAAAATTTTACTTAATGCCTTACTAAACAAAAAACTTAAGGGTTTGATCAATGTGCATTTCCATTTGAAGTTATAAAAAGAAAGGAAGCCAAAGCTTCTGCTTTATTTCTATTAACTTAATTCTAAACCTCACACTCACACCACTGACAACTTTCTCTATCATGTTATCTCCATCTACAGACACACTATTTGGGTATGCATGTGTTATGTTATGGGTTGTGTATCGTTGTATATATTTTATTGAACATGTGTACATTATGAGTTGTGTATCGTTGTAGATATTTTATTGAACATGTGTACATTATGAGTTGTGTATCGTTGTAGATACTCATTGAACATATGTACATTATGAGTTGTGTATCGTTGTAGATACTCATTGAACATATGTATGTTATGAGTTGTTTATTGTTGTAGACATTGAACAGATGTGTATGTTATGAGTTGTATATCATTGTAGATATACTTAAACAAGTACTTATTATGAAATGCTTATCGTTGTAGATATATATATATTTCATTTAACGTATGTATGTTATGAGTTGTTTATCGTTGTAGACATTGAACAGATGTGTATGTTAGAGTTGTATATCATTGTAGATATACTTAAACAAGTACTTATTATGAAATGCTTATCGTTGTAGATATATATATATTTCATTTAACGTGTATGTTATGAGTTGTTTATCGTTGTATATATATCATTAAACATGCATGTACATGTTAAGAGATGTTTATCGTTATAGATATATATCATTGAACATGAGTGTTATGTGTTATCATGTATCGTTGTAGGTATATAATTGAACACGAATGTATTGAGTTCATTTCTATGTTGATGCTGACTCTTTGCATGCTCTGATTTATCCACCCAAAAATTCCTTTGTGGATCAACAATAAAGATTATAAAATCTTATCTTATTAGACTTCAGTTGAAGGGGAGGTCAAGGAAATGGCAAAACAAAACCCTTGAGACCAAAAAGAAATAAGTCATGGTTACTTTGTGTCTTGTGTTTATGATACAATCTCACTGCTAGAACAAAGTATTGAAATCAATGTCACTCACTTGAGAAGTAAATTTCTTCCTGCCTTTGTACACCTTCCCAAAAGACCCTTCCCCAATAATCTCAAGGACATGATAGTTGTCCATCTTGCCGTCTCTTCAGGTATCGTAATCAATCTTTCATGTCCTGTGGAAAAACAAACGCACAAAACTTTCATTTCTTATAGAGTTGGGTTTCACATCAGTTCCTGAAACTCATTTAAAGTGTGCACTGTATTCTACAGAGTGTCATGTGTAACCTCGAGAAGAGTCACAGAGAATGACGTACAGAAAAGTGGGAAGACATTCTCATATTAGGGAAGGAGTTTCACAGAGGTCCGGCCAACCAACAACACACAAAAGAGGGGATATATATTCTGAGCGGGGTATACCCTAACCCTAACTCTTGTATAGTTTTTTCAGTGGACCTTGTCACGGTAGGTGCTGAATTCCTCCCCATATTAGAAAATCAAGAGGCTAGCCCTGGACAGGAAAGGAGGACAGTGTTAGTTCGTGGCCTCCCTAATGCAGGGTGAGAAAGGAAGTGACAATTATGACTGTATTCTACTACTCCAGCAAGACTCCAACTGAAAAGCAGTATCTTACTAAACAAACCTGAGATGACCAACCACAACATTCTGTTGAAAGTAATTTGAGCATGAAGGCGTTGCCTACATAATTTGGGGAGGACTTCCGCAACGAGCGATCCCTATCACTATGCGACAGAGTAGAATACAGGGATAAGGGGTGGGGTTTGGAGCAGGTGTAGGGTTAGGGTTAGGGTTTAGGTTTAGGTTTGGGGTAGGGTTTGGGGAAGAGTTAGGTCTCTTCTTTATTGTGTTTGTTGGGGTGGTCGCCTGTTAAGGAAGTCCTTCCTTAAATTTGTCCAGGGGCAATTTATTCAAAAGGCCGTCATTATTCGGACTCGAGTCAAATTCGGACTCGGGTCCGAATATGAAAAAATGTTATTCGGACTCAGGTCCCGAAAAAAAGAAGTGTCTTCGATCTATAGATCTAACGTTCAGTGCTTCCAATTTTCCGCCATTTTTTAGTTTCCCCCACACCTTATCTGCCGATCCAATGCCTGCCGCCTCATTGA